AAGGAAGAACGCATAAAAGAAACAAACAATTCGGTTTACACTAAAACCGACTTCTTGTCTTGCGAAAAATACATAAACAAAATACGAATTTCTTGCTTTTTACACGTTAATTGTGAGTGATTATTATTGTTCACTTTCGAGTAACATCCTGTAAGTTATGGTGTCATGTTAAATATAAATAATAATATTTTTTTAAATATATTTAAAACTAAATTTATTATTATCCCCCTATATATAATTCCTGAATGCGTTGAGCCTACGTAGCTGCTTCTGGTGCTTCGAAATCCTACTTGGCAAAAAATCATGTTTCGTAATTAAGTTTGGACAAATAATATTGATATATTAATAATTAGTAATTTAGGTTCGAACATTCCATAATTATTTAGCTAACTTAGATATTTTAATATTACTTGTACTAATATAACCCTTTAATTTTTTGTAATTTTACATAGTGAGGCACTAAGTGACTAATATATCCCTTACTTTTGATTTGTTTCCTTCAATTAGCTATTGAATTATTAATGTATTTTAAAATTTGATAACTTTTGTATTTCTTATCAATTTTACATATATAATATATGAAATTAATCATATTTTCATGATCTTCGATTTGACATCCATATTGTATATATAAAATAAATAAATTATATTTATCTTTACAATAATAAAAAATAATAATATTTATTAAAATTTATTAGAAAAATAAAATTATTTCTCAACTGATATATTTATGTTTTATGTAGTTATATATTGTAAGTTAAAAAAATTATTATAATATAATCCAAGTAAGTCACACAAATAAGAAGTGTCATACTAAATATATAATAAAATATATATATTTTACTAAAAGATATTTAAATTTTCAACTAATTTTTCTCATTAATTTTAGATTTTAAGGAATAATTTAACAAACACGCGTATAATACACGAACGTTGTACTAGTTATTATTTAATTTCAAATATAATTTCTTAACAAATACCGATGTTATATATACATATTGTACTAGTTATATATAAAATTAGATCGACGGTGCTACCAGCGGAATAGAGCAGAATAGAGAAAAGCTGTAGCATTAGTTAATTAAGTTTTCAAATAAAAAAAATATTTATATAGTTATTATAATTTATAAATATGAATATATTAATATATTTTTAATTATATATATATTTTTAATTAGAACGTCATCCAAAATCAAGTTCTTCTTTCTAAAACTAGTATTCGACCATGTGCATTTGCACAGATGTAAATAAAATATTGTGAGTTATTTGTATGCATATAATGATTAATTATTTTTTCATTTTTTTGGAGGCCAAATTTACAATTAAAGGAACTGAAATATTTTTTATCAAACTGCATTTATCTGATTGGATATAATGTATATTTTGTAAGTCTTTTTTGTGAATTATTTATTATTTATTTAAGAATTTTAAATATATTTTTTATTTAAAAATAATAATTTAAATGTAACTACAATAATAACATCTATTGACATTATACGGTCAATTCATTATATGGTCAACTGTCATTAGTCAAAAATTTAAAATGATTTTTTGTAATTTTGAAGTGATGAGTGTTGAATATTTAATAATTAAATAAAAGATTAAATACAACAAAAGTAACGGTTTTTGGAGGGAAAATATTAAATTGCCACATAGATAAAATTAAGTATGTTTTATTAAATGCTATTAGCTAGTAATTATATATATATATATATATATAGATATCATTCTCAATAGTAAGTCAAAAACCCTAGACCTCTACAGCTCTCGTCCAGTCTCTTGGCAACAACCACCGCCGATGGCCCTCCGTCTCCGCCGCGCTATCTCCCTCTCATACTCCCTCCTTCACCACTCCCTTAATCAGCCCAAACCACTTTTCTCAATCTCTTCTCGTATTCTCCAATATCCCGTATCCGCCTCTGGCCCTTCCGCCGCCGTTAACCGCTCATCCACCCAATTGACGCGGCGGACTTTCACGTCGACCTCTACACTATTCGCCAAGGAGTTTGACCCGGAGACCGAAGAAATCGGGCCCGACAGCATTCTCTTCGAGGGATGCGATTATGAACACTGGCTCATCACCGTCGATTTTCCCAAGGATCCCAAACCTACCCGAGAGCAAATGATTGAGACTTATGTCAATATAGCTGCACAAGTTTTTGGCAGGTCAATTACTACCGCCCGGCCTTAATGTTTCGGCTCTAAGCGCATGCTTTGTTCGATCTTATCTTTTGCCTTTTGGCTTGTTTTCTGTTATTTTCTGTTATTTGTTCCAACTGTTTCCATTTTCCTTCTACTTTTATCATGAATCTTTTTATTCAATTTCACAGTAAGTTGATAGTTACAGTGTACAAAATATTGAAGCTTGGAAGATTTAGCTTAAAAAATGTCGTAATGTAATTGGTGGGTGACGAAACTTATACCAGATGATTTGAAAGAGAACTGCGGAATAATTATATTAAGGTTCTTTAAGACGTGGAGGATTTGGCCCAAGTGTTGTGCTTCTTTAGATATTGTTTTATTGTTTCAAGAACTGCTATATTTGAAATGATAATTTGGTTAAGCATTTATATTGGTCGAGATACAGGAGAGAATTTCGTGTTCAAGAATTTTCATGGCTGACTATAATTGCATTTTAGGGGCAACTGGTATTATAACCTGTTGGTTGCTTATATTCCTATACATTTGCTTATTTGGTTGTGGCAACAAAGGGATTAGATTTTTGGGTTTGTAACAGGAGAACTTTATGCAGCTCAGCGGTCTAAACATTCTCAAGTGGTATGTTGCTGTGTTATTATTTTAATCTATCTAATCATCTGCTTGCAGTAAGGTTGATTAAGGGTGTCAGAGCAAGAAATTGGATATTTTCAATTATTGCATTCTTGTGGGGTGTGTATGTGTATCTTTTGTAGGGATACAAATGAATTGCTTGAGGCGAACTGTTTGTCTATGTTTCTAAACTAAAAAATTTGTTGTCCAAGTGAAGTTGTTCAGTCCTTGATTTTTAAAATTTTTTCGGTTTGATGAACTTTTGTCCAGTGTGGAGGAGGCAAAGAAGAGAATATATGCACTAAGCACGACAACTTATGAGGGTTTTCAGGTTTTATGTTCACAGGAAACATCCAACAAGTTTACTGGTAGGTTTTCCACGTTTTTCCTTTTTCCCTACAAACACCTTTTAAAGTTGCACTTGTAGCCAGTGTTCACTCGGGGGTTTTGTTGTCTTCAGGTGTTCCTGGGGTTGTGTTTGTATTGCCAGACTCGTACATTGATCCTTTGAACAAGGAATACGGAGGTTAGATGTTTCTTTTAGCTACTGAAACTAAGCTTTGATGCAGTCTTGAATCAATGTGCCTCGTGATAACCGAACATGGGTCAATTGATATTACAGGAGACAAGTATGTAAATGGAGAAATTTTCCCTAGACCGCCTCCGGTGCAATATGGGAGACATGATAACAGGAATAGGCGTGGTAGACAAGAATACGGCCAGCAGAATTACGGGCCTTCAGCTCATCATAATCAGGGGCCCTCTCCCCAGCAGAACTTCGGGCGACCACCTCCTCATAACCAGGGC